ACCTCATCACAAAGGCTTGTTTGGTTTGTTGTGGAAACAAGGATGGGCAAGAAAACTTCAATGGAGACCCCTTTTCCCCATGATAACTCTTTCAGGGGTGAATTTCCCTTCCTAGGGGTAGATTTCTCTCACTTCTTGTTGTCTCACCTCAGTTCTTAACTAGGAGTCATATGTAAGTTGGATGTCTGTAACTCAGGACTGGCCTTTCACAGAATGTACCAGGTGCAGAAAACCGGTCCCTACTCTTACTGGTATAACCCATCACTGCTGATGGAAGCTGCATTTTTAACAACTCCAGGTCACTCTCTTCTTTGCCACAAATTCTTGAGCTGCACCTAGGACCCAACTGCGTTGGCCTTTCACATAGTCACCCTCTCTTTCTCTCAGGAACAGAGTGTGATAGAAGCCTGACGGGACCACAGCCAAAAGAATGGGTAAAGTTTTTCTGTGAAGGAGGTCCTGAAAGTAAAGAGAGGTTTGGAGTCCTGTGCATCAGAGAATGTTAATCGGCCTCCTTCGTAGTCCAACCTCACAACTATCCTGCGGGTCGAGATCTCCGTCTCTTCTTTGGAGGCTGGTGTTACTGGAAAGAGTTGGCAGGGGCCAAGCTCCACAGCCCAAATCCCACATTCTGGTTGAAGCACCACTGGCTTCTTCCTATCCACAGATTCCTGCGCAACCCCTAGGGCCCAACCACATTGGCCTTTCACATCCACCAGCCAATGGTGACGGCCTCCTGTGAAACCTTCAGAGCCCAGGACACAAAAAGAAGGGTAGAATCTTTTGGAAGTGTTGCAATGAGTTGGGCAAATGTCCCTGCGACTTGCAGTCCTCCGGTTGGCTGAAATAACCAGGCTGGGGTGAGCCGAATCAGGATCCAAGGTCAAGATCTCTGTAACAGAGGATACCGAGCAGCAGGATGAATAAATTCCATTCCTGTTATATTTACCTTCCACATTCACTAGGCTAGGGGCACTGGGCACCCACAAAACTGAAAATTGATTAATAAAAAATCACTACTTTAGATGACAACTATTATTATTATTATTATTATTATTATTATATCCTACTTTTTCTCTCTTAAAAGAGGCTCAAAGCAGCTAACAATTCTAAAAACAAAACAATGTATAACACTATGTAACACTTTTTTTGTTCCTGGGTTATAAAGGTCATTTCCCAATTGATTATATCATAAAACATGGAAAAAAATTACTAAACTGCAAAAACTTTGTTTTTGTAGGACATTCCGCAGCACATTTTTCTCTAGTTTTTCAATGAATATCTCACCGGGTCTCAACCAATTCAACGTAGTTCATGGTAGTGACAAAAACGAAGTTTCTGGAGTATAACAACTACTTTCAAAGTAAGTACCACATAATTAAACGGGAATAACACTTTCAAACCAGGAACAGATTTTTTTTTCAAATGTTGTAATAATAATGGTGATTGGCACACTGGATGTAGTGCCTAAAGACCTTGGTCTGCACTTAAACACAATTGGCGCTGACAAAATTAGCATCTGCCAGCTACAAAACGCCACCTTACTGGGATCTGCCAATACATCACACAGTCCTAGACACTTGGGAAGTGTCCAACGTGTGATCCAATACAACAGCCAGCATAGTGACCTTGTTTGCTGTGTACTCATCTTTTGTGTTTCAAAAAATAATAGTAATAATAATAATTGTGTGCTGGAGTGCGGTGGAGGCTCCTTCTTCTGAGGCTTTTAAACAGAGGCTGGGTGGCCATCTGTCAGGGGTGCTTTGAATATTATTT